TTTTTTTTCAAGGTCATCTAATTTGTTGTTATGGTGGGATTTTAGGCGTTCACTGGCCGTGAATTTGACGATTTACCACCAGAGCAGCAGTCTGAAGCTTGCCGACATGCTAAGTTGTTCGCTCGAGTAGAGCCGGCACATAAATCCAAAATTGTCGACATTTTGCAGAGCCATGGAGAGGTGAGTGTGTTTGAAATTAGGCCCTTTGAAGCCCTTTCAATGCGTAGAATACGATTTCGCTGGTGGGCTCCTCCACGGTTTACTGTATATGCACATGCTCTGCATATCGTGTCAGGACCAGTAGACCGCGAGGCGGAGCTTATTGGCAGTTTACGGTCCTCCTTTTTCTGATCTTTAACGAATCTCTACAGATCACTGCCATGACTGGTGATGGTGTGAATGACGCCCCTGCCCTGAAAAAAGCCGAAATTGGAATTGCTATGGGATCAGGAACTGCTGTAGCCAAATCTGCATCAGAAATGGTCTTGGCTGACGATAACTTCGCTTCCATTGTCGCTGCTGTAGAAGAAGGTCGCGCTATCTACAACAACATGAAGCAGTTCATCCGATACCTGATCTCGTCCAACGTCGGAGAAGTTGTGTCCATCTTCCTGGTAGCAGCTATCGGCATCCCGGAGGCTCTGATTCCCGTGCAACTATTGTGGGTGAACTTGGTCACTGATGGTCTGCCAGCTACTGCTTTGGGCTTCAACCCACCTGACCTGGACATCATGGAACGACATCCACGATCGGCTAGCGAGAGTTTGATTTCGAAATGGCTATTCTTCCGGTATTTGGCTGTTGGAAGTAAGTTTCTTTTACTTTATGTGGTTTCAGTGTATGCTAACTTCTGTTTATTACAGCCTATGTCGGAGTTGCTACGGTTGGAGCAGCTATGTGGTGGTTCCTTTTGTACGAGGATGGACCACAGATTACCTACTACCAGCTTACCCACTGGATGAGATGCGAGGTAGAGGAGAAATTGCGTTCAATATTGAAGACGTGCTTATCATATCTTGCAGATTGAACCCGAAAACTTCACCGACTTGGATTGCGCTGTGTTTGAGGACAATCATCCCAATGCTATGGCCTTGTCTGTACTGGTAACCATCGAGATGTTGAACGCATTGAACTCGTACGTCTTCGTTTTTGGACATTTTATCCATTAAAATGAATGGCTTTAGGTTGTCTGAAAACCAATCGTTGTTCGTGATGCCACCATGGGAGAATATGTGGTTGTGCTCGGCCATTGCGCTATCAATGTCTCTCCACTTTGTTATCCTATACGTTGACATCATGTCTACGATCTTCCAGGTATGCTCATTTTTTATATAGATTTTTAAAGCAAGTGTCACAGGCAATTTTTGGAAATGAGCTCTTTGATTAACAGACATGTATAATTTCCTTTGATGCTTTATGATTGGATTTCTTCTTAAAGCTACCATGTCCACTTTGAGAAACTGTCCACAAGATACTTGTATCTGTCCTCATCCCAGTGACCAGGTGAAGGATATCGAGTTCAAGCTGGAGCAGGAATTTTGCGGTAGAGCGCGTTATCATCTAGGGCAAATCAAATAAAGGGCTGATGCCCTGATCTACCCAATCGACCTGCTCCACTTCGAGTTCAGAATCGTCCACCGGTGTCTACTGGGACGAGGACTTTTATGTCCAACACCATTTGCGCTCACGCATATCAATTTGCTAAAGTAATGTTGAATGTTGTGCATACAGAATGATGTTCTTGCAGATCACGCCGCTAAGTGTGGTCGAGTGGATAGCTGTATTGAAGATCTCGTTCCCTGTGATTCTCCTCGACGAAGTACTCAAATTCATCGCGCGCAACTACATCGACGGTAAGCTGGAAACCCGTGCAGCAAACATACGAGCTGCCATCACACTAGCTGGCCTTTTCGGTCTTTGCTTTGCCTACTTTGGCTGGATGTTAGGGCCATATGCAACAAGCATTGATCGAGTGTTCAATGTTACATTGGCTTCGTCATTGCCTCTTCATAAGGAGCTCTAGTGATATCTAACTCTAACCGCAGCACCTTAAAAGAGAGCTGTTTGTTAACCTACTATATCTATAAAAACGTGTGATGTTGTTTGCCTCCTATACACCCCCTTACTAATCGAATGGAGTGCTGTTGTTTATCACTGATCGTCGACAGAGGATGCTTTTTTGAACCTTAAGGTGTCATTCACACACTTCATGTATGTCTCTTATTTTCTGTTCAAGTATGCTCATGCAATATGCGACAGCTGCGCGCATAGTTTGGGGTTCGTGAAGCGCCTTTCTTGTCGTTTCGATTTTACTAGGAAGAGGAGCTCAAGAGTGTTAGAGATTTTCTATTGGGTTTGTTTGGGATGTTTGGTGAAAGTCTGAAATTTGGAAGACTGAGCGGAGAGCGTCTCACCAGGCAGGGGCGGTGTTCATCAAGCTCCCGATCTCGATCGGGCGCCCATCACCTGATCGGGCGATGGGCGCCCGATCGGGTGATGGGCGATTGCTACCCCATTTGATACCATCCTAGGCAAAAATTGCTTCAAGCTTTTGAGCTCTGTCAAGAAAAGCCCAAAATAAATGTCCCAAAGCCGTTCACATACCACCATGTTTGAATTATTCTGACGGCGGGCCGAGCTTGTGGCGTTCGGGTGATACGTTTGCGGGATTCTCTTTTGCGTCTTCCTGTTGCTCCTCCTTTGCTTCTTCTCACCTATTGTTCTGTTATGATCACCGTCACATCTGTGTGTAATTCCGTATGTCTCATTCCTGTTAACGCGGCTTTCTCAAGCTGATCTTGTTTTTTTTCTATTTATTTGCTCTTTTTCATGAGCACAATTTACCGCCGTCAACACACATCTTCGGTTGTGTCTATGTCCCTAATTATCTTGTCATCCCGTAAATTTGCCAAAATTAATGGCGTGCTCCAATAACAGATCGCCTGCAATAGGATTTAGATTTTATTTGATTATCCAATAACTCTTACTACTTCATGGTTGTGAGTGATATAAAACGGGCGAGTGTTGAGTCTCATCATCGTCCCGTCTCGTTTCCTATGTTTTCTTTTTATTTTCCTCTCAGTGTCGCACAGTTTTATCTATTTATAGTTGTCTTTTTCGTATTATAACTTATTTCATCGTATGTAATAATCGTCATGAGTTGGTTTGATGACATAAACCTGGTTTGATATAACTCTAGAGAATTAGAAGAGATTTTTCCTTTCCTGGTGTGGTCCGTACGGTATCGGCACAGACGATTGTTGCGTCTTATGCATCGCTATAGATGGGTAAGCTCATCTGTGTTGTCGTACATTGCATGAATGTTGTGTAGTGTACCTTGTCTTGTTGTGTTGTGTCGGTGTTCTCTTCGAAAGTATTATATTTTAGTCGCAAACAACTTTTCATTACAAAAGTTAGACCATGGATGTTTAGCGTGAAGTGAACAATTCTTTCTTGGAGTCGTCAAGATGGAAGCCTTA